AGGTGAGATACGGACAGTTTGGGCAGGTTGGAATTAAATGTTCGGTAACTATTTTTTAACTAATGCTTGGTGAAAATAGTTTGTTCAAGAATAAATAAGATTAATTTTTCTAGTAAATATAAGAGGTAAAAATTGTTTAATTTATAGATATCAAATTAAATTATATAATTGAAATTAAAATACTTTTCGTCATCGTCATTAACAAATTGCAATTATATAGTCATAAAAAACATATGGAAAAAACTACAGTCTCGTTAGAGGACCATTCTGTCTGGGTTTTTAACCGTAAATTATCTATCATACACTAATCTACAATAAGAAACCCCGACAGAATGATTTCGTAAAAGAACTGTTAGTTTTTCCCCAAACATATATTATTCTAATATTACGAATATAAGCAGTCTAGTCATAAATTTTAACACGTCAAGCTAATCGCCTCTGAATTAACTCAAATGCTTCAATTAGACTCTCTAATTATTATTTTATTTTATAAAAAATATCATACTTTTATTTAGTTTTTTTTTTTTATTTTAAAGTATGATATTACAGAAGTATATTATATATTTATTAAAAGAATACGACTACATCTACATAAGTTAGAGCATCTCCAATGTATAAATGCAGGTATTGTATAAATTCTGACAAATATCACTTAACTAGATCCACGGATGTGAATCACAAAAGATGATTGTTATGTTCCAACTTAAAGCTCAAAAATTATCTCACAATGTAATCAAACATAATATAATCTATTTGTCCAAAATAAAATAAAATGATTACAAATAAGAAAATAATCCATTTAAATAATTAATTATCTTGAAATTCTTAATAATATTTCTCTCTCTTCTCTCCATTAGTTAGTCTTTTATGATATTATAAAATGGTGTGAAGTCTATTATTACACCAAGTCACATCACTATTAACATTGTCCATTTAAATTGCTATATAGATGCTACATAAGAAGCTATAAACCATTGCATTGAATATGTTTTATGTTGTGATTGTCACCTCCATATTCTAGACATTAAAAACGTTCTTGTCATTACTATGGGGGTGATTGTTTACAAAATAATTCATTCACTTTTATTTCAACTCAAAAACTAACTCAACTTTAACTCAACTCCACTATCTTTAATATTATTCATATAATTAAATAATACAAACCAATCATTCTTACACATCACATCAACTTTAATTCACTATTTATCCACTCACATAATTTTAACTACCTATCATTTTCAATCATTTATCTCTTACTTTTACATCAAATCAATTTTAATTATTTTATTCTAAATATTATTTTAATACATTCTTAAAATTTCACTACAACTAATCATATCACTTTTTTTCAAAATTAACTATAGTTAACCAAAATAACTCAATTTGAACAAATTATTTCATAAACAATCAAGCCCTATATTTGCAATAACAATGTACATTGAAGAACTAAATGTGATTACTAAATATGATTGACGTGGATATAATTTATTATATCAACATTTGAGCATTGAATTTGTAATACCTACAAAATTAAATATTGCTCTTTGAACTTGTAACGTCTATAAAATTACCGAAAATTGATTTGACCCTTTGCTCTTCATGTTTCTAAGTTTTCACATTACATTCGGTAAAATTACAATACATGGGGCATATATTTTTGTTAAAAGAGTCATAAAGCTAAAACAATTCCGTTATACATGTATATTACTAGAATTAAATGTATGAATCCTCTAAATATAGACCACTATTTATAGCATCACTACAAGAAAATGATGTGATTCCAACATAAATATATTCCAAAAGCATTATTCCAACGGCAATTCCAACGGATATTTCAATACTATTATTTCCGTTGGAATTTTTCAATGGATTCCAACAGAAATTCCAATAAAATTATTGCGTTGGAATGTGTTTTCCATTGGAATTTTCGTTGAATTTTGACGATTCCAACGGTGGATTTTCCAAAGGGGGTGGAAATAAAAATTCCAATAGAATTTGCATATTCCAAAGGAAATTCTTACGGTAAAAAGTCGTTGGAAATATAGCCGTTGGAATCATCAAATTTCATCTAAAATTCCAATGAAAAACACATTCCAACGGAAAATTTTCATTGGAATTTCTGTTGGAACCATTCCAACGGAAGCTATACCATTGGAATATCCGTTGGAATTTCTTATTGGAATATATTACCATAGGATTTTTTGTTGGACTAGTAAAGTGCACGTGCAATGCACGTGGTGACAAATATTTTTGGCCGATAAGAT